ATTGCATAGGGAAAGATGCGGCCAGCTTGACTGATATTGATTCCAATCCACCACTTGATAGCTCCCTGTAACTGCTCTAGGACAGGTTTGAACATTTATGGTTTTAGTGAACTGGCGATTATCACTCTCTAAATCGATCTGCAGCGGCATTGACCTGAAGGTTTCCACAGAATCGTTTAACACTCGTACTTGTACAGTTTGCCAAGTAGTTCTCAATCCAAGGAGGCCAGAAACTTCTTCATTCATGAAAGATTCATTTGAGGAATCATCTAACACTGCATTTACTTTCACCTTTTTTCCATTAGCTTTTACCCAAACTGGAACTGTTCTCAATGAGGTTGCCTCTGGTTGCAATTTGGACCGGTTCGATGTCATAGTAAGATTTGTCAAACTCTCTGCCCCCTCCCGTGAAGGATCCGCCCTCTCGTCTGGAAGTACAGGACCTGGTTTCCTGCTTTGGGCGGTGTCATGAAGTAGTCGGTGATGAGTGAGCTGACATCCATCAACATCACATGGGCGAGTCCGTCTACAATCCTTTCCACGATGCTCATTGGATAAACAACGAAAACACAGATACTTTTCTTTTGCAACTTTCCACCGTTCTCCGACTGTTTTCTGTTTAAATTGGTTGCAATTCCATATCCCATGGTTACCCTGACCACAGAAAACGCAGGGGGGCTTGGTTCTCTCTTCTCGTTTTTCTATACGGTTTTGAAAGCGATCGTCCACTTCTTTTCCAGTAAAGTATGACCTTGGGCGACCTTCATCAGCTTTTCCTCTCGGGAGTCGTCGCTCAGGTAACAGTTTCTCATCCAACCCATGAGCCATTTCTTTCGCTTCAATCTTGATTACCACTTCTTCTTTTAACCAGTCACACAAACTAGTAACTGCTGGTTCTTTGTTATGAACGTTTAACCGACGACTGTAACACTCTAAATGTCGATCATGTAACTTCCGTACGAGTTGATTGTGCAATGTTCCCTCTCCAAGCTCTGCTTGTCGGTTTTCTGCTTTCAGCTTCACAACCGCCACTCTCACTAAATCAGCAAACCTTTCAAAATTGTCCACATCATTATAACGCAGTGCTGGTATACTGTCTAACTCATCCATGTAAGCTCTTAGTTGCCGACGTTGCCCACCAAACTTTGTCTTAAGAATTTCTTTCGCTTCTGTGTATTCAGGTTCTATACCCCTAGACCTCGAATTGCATCATGGGCTCGGCCGGTTAAATTTGCTATAATCTTACCATTTTGAGATTGATGGGTTCATTTGAAGCATCTACTAAACTCAGAAACAGGCTCCAAAATTCTTCAAATTTGGCCTTGGTACCATCAAAAACAGGAACGCGCAAAGCTTTAAGGTGACGATTAATTGCTGAATTACCCCCTTGCATTTGGGGTGAAATTGGGTAAGGAAGGGTCGTAGTCTGGGTGCCAGGTGGAATTGGGGGGTGGTAACCAGGGCTCTGATAAGGAAGGGTCGTAGTCTGGGTACCAGGTGGAATTGGGGTCTGGTAACTAGGGCTCTGATATGGAAGGGTCGTAGTCTGGGTACCAGGTGGAATTGAAGTTTGGGAACTAGGGCTCTGATATGGAAGGGTCGTAGTCTGGGTACCAGGTGGAATTGGGGTTTGGGAACTAGGGCTCTGATAAGGAAGGATCGTAGTCTGGGTACCAGGTGGAAATGGGGTTTGGTAACTAGGGCTCTGATATGGAAGGGTCGTAGTCTGGGTACCAGGTGGAATTGAAGTTTGGGAACTAGGGCTCTGATATGGAAGGGTCGTAGTCTGGGTACCAGGTGGAATTGGGGTTTGGAAACTAGGGCTCTGATAAGGAAGGGTCGTAGTCTGGGTACCAGGTGGAATTGGGGTTTGGGAACTAGGGGTTGGGTCCTGGTGACTAGGGGTCTGTACTTCTGTTTGCAAATTGTTATTCGATTCGGTCGATAAATCATTTCTCCCTGTGAGCAAAACTGGTTCGGTGTCGACTGGGTTGTCTTTTCCTAATACTTGGGGTGAGGCAACTAACATCTTCTGTGCACTGTCTATAATCTGCTGTATTTCTAGCTCTAAGCTATCTGATTCTTGCATAATTTCCTTGTGCAGTTTCATATCATTCATCTGTAAATACAAGCTACTCATTTCGTCCATTACAAGCTGTGTTTCCTCTAAAATTTCCCACAATTCACTTACGATTTTTCGATTTGAGCAGTGTCTATATTTCCGTCCTTTACACTGCATATTTTTTGTAATTGATGTTTAAGCTTAGTTACCTTCGTTTTACGGGTTCTTTTCTCCCTTCTTAACTTCAACAGCATCTCCGCATGCTGTTTCGATGAATAAGACTGACTTTGTTGTTCGCTTTCGACCACATTATCACTGTTGATACCGGTAATATTGTTCTCAGCACTCATATCAACTTCGATTTTGTCATTTTCTTCGGTTGCCATACTAAATATCTGCTATAAAAAACGGTTCTTTCGGTTGCCACGTCCTGGCAGGATCGCCAAATGTTAACTAGTCTCTCCGATTATGAATAAAGAACAATATATTTTACCAAAAAGCTATAAAAGTGTACATCTTCGAATGATTATCTATCAGTTTTTCTTGTTCGAGCCTAGAGACCTCGAGACCATGCTCTCGACCCAGTCTTTTCTCTCGGCCGGAAACTGCGTTGCTAATTAATTATGTCATAAATTAACAAAACTAAACATTAATAATATGCTTCTCAACAATAGATTTATTTTTCAGATAAAGATAATATTAATTGTTTTTGTTTGTGGAAACACCACGTAAATTCTACCTCCTCCGCAGGCCATACAGCCCGTTCGCAGGTTTGAATTTGAAATTTGAGACGAAGGCTTGCGTAGCTGTAAGGCCTGCTGAATAACATGTCGATTACTTGGCTTTTGGTGTCGATTACTCGGTTGGGTCAAATTTCTTAAAAAATATGACACATCGTCTGCCAATCTTTAGCAATCCCGTTTTGCGAGTATTTTCTAAATACATCTTGGCTGTTATGGCTGATAAAAGCGACGAGGAGATTAAAAAAATGGAGGGTTTTACAAGCACAAGCGACAGTGATAATAGACGTTGTGAATCTATCATTTGGCCAAAGGGGATGTTTTGACTATCTACACGCGCATTTAAATAGTTACACTGTATAAAAGACAAATATAAATGGAATAAATTTCACGGATAAAGGGCCGCATGCCTGACATACGACGTGTTACATAAAAGCCCTGCGTGTTTGTAATATGCAAATTATAAACTGATATTTCATATTTATCTGCTTCTCTTTATAAATCATTATATATGCTTGTTTGTTCAGTGTTCACTGTTCCTATGTATATTTCAGATACGAAAAGCGGTCTATATTGTTCTGGTAAAACAATATATTAAATATAATTTGGTTTGTTGCTCCCGCCATTTTGGAAAATTAGTCGTCAGGCCTTTCGGTTCGTTTCCCACCAATTTTATATTTTTGAAAGGCCTGCGGAAGAGGTAGACGTAAATTTATTACTGCAGTAATAAATTTACGTGGTGTTTCCACAAAAATAAACAATTATATTTTATCGCCATGCAAACATTCAAAGAACTTAAAGATAATTTTGTTGCTAAAATAAGCCGTTTATAGCTTCGCCAATCGCCATGTTGTCATGGCAACAGTGAAATTGTCAGAACCAAGTTCTAAATATTCCACTGATGTTATATATTTCCTCCAAGTAGAAAAGAATGCACGATTTGCATTAATAGGCCTGCATGTACTGTAGAGATGTTGGGCAAATAGGGTCAACTGTAGGGAACCTCCTTTTAAGAAGGTTCGATTTATTAATTAATTCTTACAAGATCACTCACACAACTCATGTATGCTACAGTACATATGTACAAACTTGCGTGACCATTCACGTGCGCGGGAATATCAGCGGTAGATTTTCCATGCTGAGCTGACGTGGCAAGTTGTTCACGAGCCATCTCGCGTCATTACGCGTGTTGCATGTCAATTGCCGACGTGTTTGAAAGACAATGCGCTGTATGTACCTCATTATTTTGCCTTGTTACCTATACAGGGTGTATCAAAAAAAGGTAATCCAAATTTGACATGTTTCGCAAGTTAATCAATACGCAAATAGGTTTTCTCTTTCGTAGTTCATTATCTTCATAATTTAACCAATAATTTGAATGCTTCACTCGACCGCGTCCATTAATGAAATCACAGTTTCCAATCGTCAATTTTTAAGAAAATTAAAGTTCCCATTTTAGGGGATCGGCTGCCATCATTCGCCAGAATGATCATACCATAATTTATATTTTTACCATCCGGCAAATGAGTTTAATCACTGTTTTTACAGATTTTACATAGTAGTTACAGGTTTTCATACACTGCTGTTGTGGAATCAACTGCACTAAAATCAACCAATACAGTCGCATATAAGATTAATTAGAGTTTCTTGTATATATTATTACGAAAATTAAACGTCATTCCATGCATGCCAATATTCAATACACACTGATCTAGAAGTATATAATCATCACAATCTCGTTCCCCGAGCCTGCGATCCTCGGGAAGGAACGTGAGGCGCTGGGATAATCCGTTTCAGGGAGGAATATGATTGGCCGTTGAAATGGAATGCGCAGTTTAATCTTAGCTAGGATTCCTGGCTTCCGACAACGGATTATCCCAGAGCCTCACGTTCCTTCCCGAGGATCGCAGGTTCGGGGAACGAGATTGACAATCGTCCCAGCTTGTTAATAATTTTGCAACTACTTTCAGAAAATCAAAACGATTGTTAATTCAAACCCTGGTCCATGCACTAAACGAAACCGAGGCGATATCGTATTGGCGAAGGATCGCAAAGGAAATAATCAGCTTTTGGCTTGCAATAAAGGCGATGAAAAACTCTATGGGTGGAGCAAAATTACCATTGGTAAGCATCCTAAATTATTTTTAATTATCTTAACATTAAGGCACATGAAGAAAAATTTACCAAAGTTGGATTGCATAACTACAAAGATTTTGAAGTCGCTACCTGTACCTATTTCAAAATAAATAGTTATAGACAAGATATGTTGTTTACGTCCAACGCGCTTAAAATTACATAACTCAAAATGATCCAAGCAAAACGGTCTTTTGTTAAATGTAGGGACTGGTTTATAGGAGTAAGTCATTTCGAGTTATGCAATCGTGTGTCTTAATCCATCCGTGTCGTTAAACAATGATAAAATTTGTTATGAGATTAGTGAAGATAAAATAGCAGTTTGTTGGAGGGGGAACTTTTCGGATTTGAATTCAGCATGTTCGAAAGTGTTAGCTATCGTAAGAATATTTATGTTCCAAGACATGGTAAAATGAAAATCGTTTTTTAGGCACTCTTCGAAGTCACAGTAAACGGCCTAGTATCACTGGAAAAAATTTAGAAAATCCATAGGTCATAGAATTGAAATTGTATGTACCTTTATTTGAAATACAGTGGATTTTAATTATGTTTCCATACTATGACTAGAAAATACATGCATGCAGAAGCCCTCGCCTTGCTGACAAAATCATTGTATTTTCCGAACATGAAGTATTTAAAGTAGTTGTCATGGTAACACGATAATTTTGTTGAGAATATTTTAACAAATAAGAAATCCCCTAAAAATATCACTTTTAATTACAAAATTATGAATTCCCCAAACATATATATATTACAGTAGGTATGTTATTATACGTAATATAAGCTTCAATTTAAGGTAAAATTCAGCCTCCGTTTTGCAAGACGTTTTAAAATGTTCTTTATAAAACTAAATTGCCTTTATTGAAAATCTTTGAGTTTGAAATAAAATGATTTCAAATTCTTGCATTCAAACAATTTTGCTTTCTTTTTTATTTAAACATTTTAATATAATAAAAAAAGTTAATCAGTAGACAGTAAGGAAACACTGAAATTATATTTCATTTTAAAATATACGCAACGATTAGCTTTTAAAGCCGTTATAAAGCAAACAATACATCAATATTTAAAACAAACCTACCATCGTTAACTCGGCGCCTTTACTTCCTTCTTTTAGCAATTATTTCGCTTTTATTTCCTTAAAAAGCTTTTGAAATTCACAACATCTTCCAAAAATGAAATATATTTGCAAGAAATCCTCAAATCAAGAAATGTTTCCTATTTTGCTGTCGTCATGCAGTCGTTATAATGAAATTTTAAATTTGACCAATCAGTGTTCGCTATTCATGACAGTCCGCCATATTTTTGAGATCAGTGAGGATGACCACCCACCCAACACCCAAACACCGTTGGTCACCCACGCTCGCGATCATTGATGAACTTCAAACATCGCTAATACTTTCGTTTTCCCCGGTGTAAATAGCCGGGCGGAATTAGTACCCTCGCCCCGGGCTTACGCCCGGAACGGCGATCCGCGCCAATGGCTCGGGGAATATAGTACGGAAATAGTGTGGATATACTATGGATTTTGTAATGCAATTACAAATTTCATAATAAGAATTTCACATTTTTTCACAGTGTATATGCGCCTATGATGTATTCCTAATTAGAATGCTAAATGGATAAATTAAGTTACTATGGCATCGAATTATTCGTGAGTAATGAATAAAAAACAGTTGCTGTCATGTGGATTACGAATAAAAATTATTTATCTTCATCTTAGACAATAGTCTTACCGGTGAAATGTTTAATCCAGGATACGATTGTAAGTCAATATTGGATCATAACTCAGAGGCAAAAAATGGATTCTACTGGATAACACTAAATACCAAGAAACCTAGAAAGGTCGTATACTTAATTTTTTCAAAACAATTTCTTCTCTCTGGATCACAGTATTACATTTTAGAAGAAAATAAATAGAAGCGAAATAATTTCTGTTTATTTTGTACTTTCATGCATTAGTTAAAGGGTTCGTCCGTGGGGGAAGGGGAGGGGAACATCTACAGAAATTAATCACACTTTACTGAGTGTGGAAAGATGACAGATGGTTGTTGGTAACAAAAAGTTTGATGTTGTGTCGCATGTAATACAGTGGTAAGGAGGTGGGTCTGAGGGCATTTTCTCCCAGAAATGTTTTTATTATTCTACCCTTATAGGGCTGCATTTTGTGCGTTTTCTGAAACAAATTTTTGGATATACAGCGTTACATTATACTCTACAGATAGACTGAATCTTCAGTTAAGTACGTGGATTGCATGTTGATGCAAATACCACAACTCTGTTACAACTTGTTGCCTAGCCTTCCAACAACTTAAATATGTCTTACAGGGTCTGGAATATGCTATCCACAGAGATATTTTTTAAATCTCATGTATTTACAACACAATTAATGTTTATGACATAAGATTCACAAAACAAATTTTAGTGACTGGAATATCAAACCTCTCTTTTAAATCCAGAACTCACTAGACACAGAAAATATCATGATTTGCTTATATTTTAGAGAAAAGGGACTT